CTGTCATCAAATCATTTATCAAGGATTCATGTGATGATGATGATGATGATGATGATGATGAAGACAAGACACAAGGAAACATACATTTACATAACGTTGCAAACACAGAGGACAACGGGCCTTTTTCACAGCAGCCATTTTGACATGAAACAGTAGGGTAAACACAGGTGTTACCAATGATACTCCCTTCTGTTGCACTGAGCTCTGAGTCAGGGTGCTGCTATTGTGCATGTTGTCTCACTGGAAAGGCTCTGCTGCACTAAATAGAACTCAGCCTTAATTTAGTATCATAGGTAACTCCTGAGTTTACCCTACTATTCATGTCAAAATGGCTGCTGTGACAAACATCCATATTCAAGGCCCTTCAGCATGCGTCTGATCTGGGATTAAGCTCCATATTTAACTTTATGATCGACTGCTGCACAAAAGAGTGCTTCAGTCTAAACTTGTGAAATGGTGGAACCTCGTATCTCCAGTTTGATGGTAACAGCTTGTATTCACTGTTCAGGACGTGGTTGGGGTCAAAGGTTGTTGGACAGCCTTAATATATTATGGAAGGCTGATTCATTGAGTCTCTACAGAGGTTGTACGACAATCTGTGAACGACGCTGAAGTTGGCTTCCGATTCGCCAGCCTCCGTTTCGGCACTTAAGGGGAAATTAACTTATTGTGCAGTGCGACTGTTTGTCCACTGATTGTCTGTTTTTTGTGACACTTCTTGATGTGAAAACGTTTTAGACATTTTAGGTAAGACATCAGCTTTGCCTGACACCTACGATTGTATCTGTGAAACTTTTATTTTATTTGTGAAAATGCTAAAGGGGAGATTTCACCGTTTTTGTTTTACACCAAGACCTCATTAGACCAGGTCCAGATCAAAAACCACTGCACCTAGACCTCTCAAATCTGGACTGGATTGATGTACAGACCCTGAAGATTCATAAAAACACAATCTCTGATTTGTGAAACCTTTATTCTATTTGTGAAAATGCAATAAAGACACATTTCAAACTTTTATCAGCACATAGACCACTTTTGACAAGGTCCAGATCCAGAACCACTGCACCTAGAACTCTCAAATCTTTTTACATGGAGAAGTTGTTGAAAAGGCACAGAGTCAGTAAAAAAGTCAGCAATTTTCGTTCTTTTAAGTTTTTATGGCCTCACCTCTGTTTTTGTAACGTTGTGTCAAGGTGCCTCTTTGTTTTCTGCTTCTCTGCTTTCCTTTGCAGGTTCCAGGTCGTGGGTCGTCATCTTAATATTTTTAAACTATGGACAATTGGGTAGGGTCAGTATCATGTCTGTAGGTAGGTAGTTGGTCAGGTGATGAGGAAAGGGAGGAACACAAAGAGGACAACTGGTGGCCGGGAGAACAAGAACAGGGTCTGAAATGATGGCAGATGTTAGTAAAGCCAACAAACTATTTTAAAAGGTCCACAGGTCAGACTCAAGATCTTAACCTTGGTACCTGAGGTCCTACCGGGTTAGATACTAGAGACACCAAAATAAATGTATTTAAAATAAAAATAGTTTGTTGGCCAATGGTCTAATGAGGTCTTGGTGTAAAACAAAAACGGTGAAATCTCCCCTTTAGCATTTTCACAAATAAAAGTTTCACAGATACAATCGTAGGTGTCAGGCAAAGCTGATGTCTTACCTAAAATGTCTAAAACGTTTTCACATCAAGAAGTGTCACAAAAAACAGACAATCAGTGGACAAACAGTCGCACTGCACAATAAGTTAATTTCCCCTTAACTTTCCCCTTAAGTGCGGAATCGGAGGCTGGCGAATCGGAAGCCAACTTCAGCGTCGTAATCTGTGAGCAGATTCTCATCCGGTGGAGCAGTTTTGACTTTAAAGTAGTGGACAGACATTTGTACCATGTCGTATTACAATACTGCCAAACACTCATAATCACAGAAGGAAAAAACAGGAGAAGAATTTGTCTTCTCGGACCTAAAGATGTAATGTGGCAGAGGAAATAAAGTCTTTGTGTTGTCTGTTTGGATGTAAGTTCAGTGTGGTCTTTCCAGGATAACAGTCAGTGTGTCATTAAGTATTTGTATGAAAATAGCTGCTTGACTGTTTCTTTATGGATGACAACAGGAACTTTATGAGAGTCAGACGGTGAACCAAAAACAAGTTCTTCACTTTTCTTTGTGTTAATCTCAGGAGCATTGTTATCACTGCACTCGACCACTTTGTTCCCGTCATGTTGGTGCAGCCCAGAGTTGTCTGAGTTACTGAACACAGATATTAGAGCTGTATCATCAGAATACTTTAGATTGTATTGAGTTGGTGTATCTGTACAGAAATCATCAGTATAGAAAGTGAAAAACAGCTGAACTCAACAACAATATGAATGAAAACATGTTGGTGTTTGCAGAGTTCAGTCCAACAGACGGAGAGCAGAGTCTGCAGCATCCAGCTGTCTGTCTATGAAGAGTGACTGGTCCAATGATCCTCCTCTAAACTTCAGTAATGAACCTGGACCCTCAGACTCAAAGTAAGAGAACTGATACAAACTCATTTATATGACTCATTTTCAGTTTCCTCTGCTCATGCATGCTTTCTGTTGATTTTGTGTTTATATATTAAACTTTCTGCTAAAATGTATTTACTAACTAAACTGTTGTGACACACAAAGAGAAATCACTCGTCCATCTTCCTCTCAGTCTCTGTGACAGCTGTCAGTCACTAGGAAAGCTGTAATCTAATCTAAGAGCACTGATACAAACTTTGAAACCTCCTAATGATCCACAGTAGCAGCAGTTTGTGTATTTAGAGCTTCTTTAAGGACTTTGTCATCAAATACTAAGATTGTTCTCAGCGACTAACAGTTAAGTGGACTATTAGGGGGCAGCCCTGATATTGAGCCAAGGTTGGCAGGTCTGAAACAGTGACGGACATAATGAGCTCTCTTTAATGGAGGACTTTTACTGTGAAGCAGCTGCAGGAAGTGTTGAGTTTGTATTAATAACTAACTACAGGCTGATCACTAAATGTTTAATGAGACAAACAGGAAAAGCAGTTCATTGGTGTTTGTGAAAGCAGGAGAGTTGAAATTAAAGGAACAATTGTTTCATTTCAGACTGAATGCTGAATTCAAACTAAAAAGTAACGAGACTTTTACTGTTCTCTGTGACCATCTGAGCTTCTACACAGAGTCAGTGGACACATGTTGATATGTTTCAACTACAGTCAACAAATCATTGTACTTATAAAGAAATGTCTTCACAGAAAGAGGAAGAGGAGTTGCTGTGTTTTGTGTCGGGACGTCCTGAAGGATCCGGTCTCTACCAGCTCTGGACTCTGGTTCTGCAGACAGTGCATCACCTCATACTGGTACCAGTCTGCTTCATCAGGAGACGCCTCCTGTCCCCAGTCTGGAGAAGGACCCAGAACAAGACAGAGTAAGACTGTATACCTGTCTGCTGATGTGTTAATACATTAGTTGTGTCATACAGTACGGCCATTTAACACCTTTATACATTTAAATGTAGTTGCATGTTTTTTCTGCTCCAGCATACAATTCTTGTCCTTGTTCTCCTTTGAGGAAACATATTGACACATGTTGGTTTTATGATAGCGCCCCCTGTCTTTGCATTAAGCAGTCAGAATGCTGTTTGTTCTCTGTCTGCATAGATGGAGATGGAGAACTATTAAACTCTGTGTAAAGCAGTAACATCACTGTTCTATCACAGACAGACAGCAGCCTGAGACGCAACAACAACAGCTCACATTGGTGTCCTGCTCGTGACTGCTTCTTCTCTAACTTACAAACAGTTTGCTTACTTTGTCTTTGTGCCACATTGTGTCAAACTGTGAACACGTGCATCTCCACTGCAGCCTCATAGCAGGAACAAACGAGCTGTTGTGGTTCTGATGGTAGCATCATGGTCAACAGGGGCCAACCTGAGATCCTCCTCCCTCAAACAAAAGCCACGTCTGTCTCTAAAGTGTGTGTCTGTGCTGGAGACCAGAGACAAAGATCTGTTTCTAAAAGTCTCTCTGTGTTCAGCTTTCAGGACTTTTATTTAATATGTTTTATTCCATTCTTTGTAAACAATATAATATCACCATAGCAACATATCGTGATGTGAATTTGGTTTCGCCGTCCTGCCTTTCCGTTGGAGTCCATGTGAACGCAGCATCAGTCAGAGCTTTGTTAACTTCCTGCTGATGCAAACTCAACACTTCCTGCTGCTGCTGCACATGACAGTGAACCAATGGGAGGCTTTTATTGTGAAGCAGGAAATGGAGTGTATTCTCACACAGATTCACTATTCAATAACGTATTCTGCATTATTTGGTATATTTCATATCAGTTTAAACATTCCTGAGACGAAGGAACAGCCACAGTGAGCAGTTCAGATGAAGAGCTGATGAAGAGAGTCCACCGACACACAGCCAGAGGCTGAGAGACAAAGGAGCATTTCTGATGTTTACCCAATACTGGACTTTATAACCTTTAATTCTGGAAATATTCTGATATTGTTATTTTATTGGCAATGAAAATAATCAGAAGAGTCACATTTTCTTTGTTTTGTCTCCCATTTCTTCTTCTCTTCCAGCAGATGGTGGTCTGCAGGAGGTTTTAGATGAACATAAGATCGGTCTGAGGAGGAGATGTGAACGTGTGACTGAAGGAACTGATGAACCAGGAAGTGGAACCCTCCTCAACAGGATCTACACTGAGCTCTACATCACAGAGGGACAGAGTGAAGAGGTTAATACCCAACATGAGGTGAGACAGCTTGAGACAGCTTCCAAGAAGAAGACCTTCCATGACGCTCCAATCAGGTGCCACGACATCTTTAAAGCCTTACCTGACCAACAGAGACACATCAGAGTGGTTCTGACGAACGGCGTCGCTGGCGTTGGAAAAACCTTCTCAGTGCAGAAGTTCACTCTGGACTGGGCAGAGGGCTCGAACAACCAAGATGTCAGTCTGGTGGTTCTGCTTTCGTTCAGAGAGCTGAACCTGATCAAAGATGATCAGTACAGTCTTCTCAGGCTGCTCCATGTTTTCCATCCAACATTACAGAAGGTCACAGCAGAGCAGCTCGCTGTCTGTAAACTTTTGTTCATCTTTGACGGCCTGGATGAAAGCAGACTTTCACTGGATTTCCACAACAATGAGGTTGTGTCTGACGTCACACAGAAGTCTTCAGTCAACGTGCTGTTGACAAACCTCATCAGGGGGAATCTGCTTCCCTTGGCTCTCGTCTGGATCACTTCCAGACCTGCAGCAGCCAATCAGATCCCTCCTGAATGTGTTGACAGGGTAACAGAAGTACGAGGCTTCACTGACGCCCAGAAGGAGGAGTACTTCAGGAGAAGAGTTAGTGATGAAGATCTGTCCAACAGGATCATCTCACACATCAAGACCTCCAGGAGCCTCCACATCATGTGTCTAATCCCAGTCTTCTGCTGGATCACTGCTACAGTTCTGGTCCACATGTTGACTACAGACCAGAGAGGAGAGCTGCCCAAGACCCTGACTGACATGTACTCACACTTCCTGCTGGTTCAGACAAAGAGGAAGAAGCAGAAGTATGATGAGGGACATGAGACGAGTCCACAGGAGCTGATGGAGGCTGACAGGAAGGTTCTTCTGAAGCTGGGGAGGCTGGCGTTTGAACAGCTGGAGAAAGGAAACATCATGTTCTACCAAGAAGACCTGGAGCAGTGTGGTCTTGATGTCACAGAGGCCTCGGTGTACTCAGGAGTTTGTACAGAGATCTTCAAAAGAGAGAGTGTGATCTTCCAGAAAACAGTCTACTGCTTCGTTCATCTGAGCATTCAGGAGTTTCTGGCTGCAGTCTACATGTTCCACTGCCACACCAACAGCAACACAGAGGTACTGAAGGGTTTTCTGGGGGGGAAATATGATAATCCAACTTTGGACGTCTTCCTGGAGGATGCAATGATGAAATCCCTGAATAGTGAAAATGGCCACCTGGACCTGTTTGTTCGCTTCCTTCATGGCCTCTCTCTGGAGTCCAACCAGAGACTCTTAGGAGGCCTGCTGGGTCAGACAGACAACAGTCCAGAAACCATCCAGAGAGTCATCAACAACCTGAAGAAGATGAACAGTTATAATATCTCTCCTGACAGAAGCATCAACATCTTCCACTGTCTGACGGAGATGAACGACCACTCAGTCCATCAGGAGATCCAAGAGTTCCTGAAGTCAGAGAACAGATCAGAGATGAAACTGTCTGAGATCCACTGCTCAGCTCTGGCCTACATGCTGCAGATGTCAGAGGAGGTTCTGGATGAGTTGAACCTGAAGAAGTACAACACATCAGATGAAGGACGACGGAGACTGATTCCAGCTGTGAGGAACTGCAGAAAGGCTGTGTAAGTCCAGATGTGATTAACATTATAAAGCAATGCTGAAGTCATCACTATTAGAGTCAGTATACACACTTTACACACACACACACACACACACACAATATAAAACTTCCACACTATAAAAGTTTTCCTAAACTAGTATTAAACCTGCTTATTGAATACATTAGACACGTGTTACACTACAAATGTCTCAAATGCACCGAGAATAAGACAGAAATCATTTTTGTGTTTATAGCTATCAGGTCAGTGAACATCTTCTAGTATCTTCTATCGTCTTCTGTCTTTCTTTGGGTGACGGAGGTTCGATACAAATCCAGCAGACAAACTTGAGGACTCAAGAGTTTGTGCTGGAAATGTCCTTTTTTACAGTGTATATGTAACGGATGTGGGTAGGGCATGGAAGGAAACGGCTCAATTACTTGTTTTTCAGCATTTATTCGCTCCTGCAGAAGACAGTAATGCACATTCATTTCCTTCTAGTCTTTTCTCTGCACCTCTGTTCACGGCGGCACTGTGCAGATTTCATTCTTTTTTTTTTTTCTCAAATTACATACAAATACATTCATTTAACATTACAGCATATACTCAATGTGCACATTACTAGCCAAAAGCTTTTCAAATTGACAGGAAAACATAACCTTAAACAAGTCTCCTCAAAACCATGAGACACAATATATAAAAAGGGAAAACAGTGACCCCTGGTGGGCACATTAAAACAGTGTGTGAATGCGAATGGCTAAACAGAGACAACAAAATTATCACATTTAGCAGAGAAAAGCACATACCTGCAGAAGACAGTAATGCACATTAATTTCCTTCTAGTCTTTTTTCTGCACCTCTGTTCCTAAACAGGCAAAATAACAGAACCAACCACTGTGAGGGTCAGTCGGAGCTACGGAAGCTTAGGAGGTACAGAAAAGGTGACGTAAGGCAAAGTAATTTCCGCAGGAAATATTAATAATAATAATAACAATAGCGGTAAATTAAAATAACTCATTAAGATAAAATGAACACATACTCAACAATCATTAAATGATAAATAAAACTGACAAATACAAATTGGAAATAAGAATTGATAGAGTGCATTTTTAACTCTGTTACATCTACAGTGTGTGCAATGTGTTTCTGTTATCATTTATTATTATCTTCATGATTTGTGTGGCCGTGGGGTTTCCCCCAATAAAATCTGATGTTATTTAACTAAAACTGCATTTTAATAAATAACAATAACAATAATACATTTTATTTATAGAGAGCTTTTCTAGGAACTCAAAGACATTTCACATAAGTTAGATAATAAAAGTAATAAAACAACACCCTAAAAACTATATATAGATATATATCTACAACAACATTAAAGGGCCTAATTAAAGGCCTTGGGACAGGGGAGCAGTGGAGGAGGTGCAGTTGTTGGTATTGATGAACTGTTGTCTATTTGTGAGATATGACCTTAGCCAGGAGAGGCCAGTACCGGTGATGTTGAGGGAGGACTGAAGGCGGGAGAGAAGAATGGTGGTTGATGATGACATATGCAGGTTACATTTGTGGATGAAGCTACCATGGCATATGGACAAACACATGTACCTATATTATGAGGTTCATTAGACATGTGAGCTGTTGATACTCATGATATGATGTTACTATGGTCCATGTTTCCAGCTCCTTGTATGTGATTTGGAGGCTGTCACATTGTTTGTCATTAATGGCTTCCTACTGCTCGTGGGGAATGAGCATGATATGAATATGCATATTTTAAAAATTCAAACCAGATTGTTGTTCAACATGTCCCCAGGTACCACTGAGCTAAACAGTGGCCAGTATGTGGGACCAGTCCACTTTTTCATAAAGATCCTGATCTCATCATCACGACATCTTTCCTTGTAATTACGAGATAGTAACTGATAATTACGACATGTCTAAATGTTTTTTTGTGAAGGCAAAGTTCAATTCAATTCAGTTTTATTTGTATAGCGCCAATTCATAACAGAAGTTATCTCAGGACACTTTTCAAATAGAGCAGGTCTAGACCGAACCCTTTATAACAGGGGTGCCCAAATTCTTCTCAGTTGAGGGCCAAAAATGGCTCGGGGTGGAGGGTCACGGGCCAAAATTAGACATTCATATTGCAGTGCATTAAATTAAATATGCCTATGATATAACTGTGCATAAACAGTCATACAAAGTAATTTGGAAAATCAACACTGCTGTTTATTGAAAGCAGAAAAATAATAATACAGGCCTGTGCCTTCAACAACATGCCTCTATGAGACCAAAATGTTATACTCTCCACTGCCTTGAACAATCATTTTTAAAGTAATAGAAATATAATTGTACAAATAAATACAATGGTATTTTAACACCGAGCCACCAAACTCGCGGACTTTGTCTGACACAAGTGCAGTGAGACCTGCTCTCTTACCGACCATAGCCGGGGCTCCGTCTGTCGTGATACCTGATAGGTTTTCCCACTTCAAGCTGTTCCTATCCATAACTCGCTGCACTGCCATAAAAACATCTGTGCCTTTTGTTGTCCCTTTCAGTGTTTCAAGGCCCGCGAGTTCCTGACACACTTCAAAGTCCTCATTCACTCCTCGCAGAAAGACTAACAGCTGAGCTGAGTCCGATATATCGCTGCTTTCGTCACATGCGATGGAGAAGGCAGAAAATCGACCTGCTCTCTGGACAATTGATATCCTCAACACGGCGGGTGACCGTGTTCCGTGACAAACTAATGTGGGAAAAAGCCCGCGTCTGATTTGGGCACACGGTGTCAGCAGCAACTGTCAGACATTGTTTTATAAAATCACCCACCGCGAAAGGTCGTCCGCTTCGGACAACGAGGGAGCAAATATGATAACTTGCCCGAGTGGCATTTTCCTGTTCAGTTGAGGGCTGGAGAAGGGTGCGTTGTTGGGAAGTTAGCTTTGCTATCAGGTCTCCAGCCTTCACCTTTCTCTCCTCTCCGGTGTATTTTGAGAACTGATGGGAATGCCGCGTTTCGTGATGGCGACGGATATTGTATTCTTTTAAAACACCGACTCTCTGCTTACAAATCAAACAAACTGCCACGGAATCAATCTCTGTGAAAAAGTACTCATGTTCCCAAGTGTTTTTAAACTTTCTCTTATCACAGTGCCACTGCCTCCCGCGCTCCATCACAGCATCTTCTCACTCTTTTTTGTTGGTTGCTAAGCGACGCCGTTAGAAGAAGACGAAGATCTTCTCCCTGTGGTCACGGCCGGTCGGATTTGAGCTGACGGGAGCTCAACAGCGCCGCCCTAACCCCAATGTAATACAATGTTAATTTGTGGTCAGGAGAAGAAGTGCAACAATAAATAAATAATAAAAGAGATATTCCGACTGCTGGCACATAATAATAGTTCAAAGTATTAACAATTCGAGCATGGGCAGCGGGCCAAAAATAATCGGGGCCCCAAATTGGGCAGCCCTGCTTTATAACATTATTTACAGAGACCCAACAGTACCACCATGAGCAAGACCTTGGCGACAAGGGCAAGGAAAAACTGCCTGTTAAAAGGCAGAAACCTAGGACAGATCCTCCGGCTCTAGGTGGGTGGTCGTCTGTCTCGACCAGTTGGGGTGAGAGAGAGAGAGAGAGAGAGAGAGAGAGAGAGAGAGAGAGAGGCAGAGAGAGAGAGAGAGAGAGAGAGAGAGAGAGAGAGAGAGAGAGAGAGAGAGAGAGAGAGAGAGAGAGAGAGAGAGAGAGAGGGAGAGAGAGAGAGAGAGAGAGAGAGAGAGAGTGCTTCTGTAGCTGTTTACATTCCCCCAGACCCACATTTAAAAAATGCACTGCAGAACTACTTTACTGGCTTTATAGTTATATATGTTAATAACTGTATGTATTGTTTATTTTATTCTAATATAAATGTAATATGTGTATGTTCTATGTGTGTGTGGCATGAAGGGGCTACAACTTACATTTAAACATGCTGTGTTAAATATGAATGTTGAATGATTTCTGTGTGTCTTTATTTGCCTTGTGATCTAAATGCAATCAGATTTTATTTTAAAGGTTATATTCTCTGTATTCACAGACTTTCTAACTGTAGACTCTCAGAGACTCACTGTGAAGTCGTGGCCTCAGCTCTGAAGTCCAACCCCTCCCATCTGAGAGAGCTGGACCTGAGTGACAACGACAACCTGAAGGATTCAGGAGTGAAGCTGCTGTCTGCTGGACTGGAGAGTCCACACTGTAGACTGGAGACTCTGAGGTCAGTTCATGTGTTTGCTCTGTGTATATCTACCAAATATAACAGAAGTTTGAAATCTCCTTCAGTTGTTTTGCTTTCTGGGTTTGTCTGAGCACAAATCACAACAGCTCTTGTTTAAAGTCTGTCAGTCTGAATGATTTGGCTCCAGATTTCGTCTGTACTCAAACTGGATTGGTGTTAGTCAGAACACTGTAGGATTTATTCTACAATGTGCTGCAGAATGAAATGAGTATTTAGTGAAACACTCGGGGCTGAGGACACGTTCACTGTGTGTAGTACGTTCAGTGAGTGAGGATCCATCTGAGTGAGTCAGTGAATCACTGCACGTTGGCTCTCAGCTGACTGAGAACGGATTGTTTGAGGAAGTGATTCAGTACAGTTCGTTCACCCAAAACATTTGTTCATTCAGACGAAACGTATGAATGTAATGTGATCTCTGATTCAACACACTGCCAGTTCTCAAACTCTGGAGACAAAGTTTTATAACACTGGAAATATTAACGCTGCTGACATTGTTAGTGTGAAACTGAAATATTTAAAGTTAAACCATAGTTAATACTATTAAAGCTTTATTTCACACTGAGGATTCAACCACATAGATTTGATGCTGATTCACAATGAGCATCTTGCTGAGCTTCATATTTAAAACATATTTAATATCACATTAATCATTCAACAGTGGTTGATTCTCTCTTAAAGGTTTCATTTTCACCTTTCCCTCATTTGAATGAAACAGAAACGTGTTTTATTCTCCATCAGTGAATGAAAATAAATAGTTCAAAACTGAACCCCAAATCCCACAAAGCGGTTTCTGGAAGAACCTCCACACTGGACCTATTGTAACTGTGCTTGTTATTGTTTCCATTCAAAGTGACACAACATGTACATTTAATAACAGATAACAGATGTATATTGAAAATCAATACAAATAAAATCATAATGAAAGTAAATAAAAAGAAACTAGATCATACGACAGATTGATCTACTTCTACCCCCATGATCTGTGTACATACCGAGTGTTTAAGACACATTAAAGGCACATTTACACAATAACACTAAATATGAAAAATACAAGACAAATAAAAGAAAATAATTAAAATAATACAAACAAAAACAACAAATTAAAGAATTATGAAATGAACATGAATACAATGAAGGTTGCAATAAAACTATTGAGGAGACAGTATTTAGTATTAACTCCTCCCTCCCCGAACAGATACAGCTGATCCACTGAGACTTTATGTGTTTGACTCCAGATATTTCCAGATAGACACTAATCTAAAGCTTTTTATAAACTTGTACATTGTAAACCTTCTTCAGCTCTGAACAGATTATTAAACACTGAATGATTTCAAGCAGGAACATTGTCTTCTAAACTCACATCTTTTATTCTTTATTCAGATTGAGGTGCTGCAGGTTGTCAGAGATCAGCTGTTCTTCTCTGGTCTCAGCTCTGAAGTCCAACCCCTCCCATCTGAGAGAGCTGGACCTGAGTAACAACATCTACCTGAAGGATTCAGGAGTGAAGCTGCTGTGTGGTTTTCTGGAGAGTCCACACTGTAGACTGGAGACTCTGAGGTCAGACACCATGTTTTCTTTCTGTGCTGAGATGAATGTGATGTTAAGTTGTGCTGACAGTAAAGTGCAGACATAAGGCTGATATTATACTGATCCACACTGAGTATCTGAATGCTAAAGGCTGTTTTCTTCTTCAGTGGTTTAGTCCATTGACTGTGGCAGAGCAATGTTGAGCTCCACATTTAAAACCTTCATAGAACAAGAAGAATCTACACTGAATAATTCACTGTGAACCTCTTCAGCTCTGGATTTTACATTAAAGGTCACCTTGTGGTTTAAATCATCCATAAAAATAAGTTCATTGGGCGCCTGGTTAGCTCAGTCGGTAGAGCTGGTGACCCGTATACGAAGCTGCTGCAGCGGCCCGGGTTCAAATCCGACCTGTGGCCCTTTGCTGCATCCCCTCTCTCTACCCCCCCTTCCTGTTCTTCAGCTTTCTCTGTCAAATAAAGGCAAAAAAATAACTTCAACAAATAAATAAAATAAATTAATTAACACAAAGAATAAATAAAAAATCTTTATTTCAACTGTCAGACAATAACGAATATATTTTATGAAGCTTTGTAGCATTAGCTCTCTGTAATGTAGCGTAGCATTAGCTCTCTGTAATGTAGCGTAGCGTTAGCTCTCTGTCTCGTAGCGTAGCATTAGCTCTCTGTAATGTAGCGTAGCATTAGCTCTCTGACTCGTAGCACAGCATTAGCTCTCTGACTTGTAGCGTAGCATTAGCTCTCTTACTCGTAGCGTAGCATTAGCTCTCTTACTCGTAGCGTAGCATTTGCTCTCTGACTCGTAGCGTAACATTAGCTCTCTTTCTCGTAGCATAGCATTAGCTCTCTGTAATGTAGCATAGCATTAGCTCTCTGTAATGTAGCATAGCATTAGCTCTCTGTAATGTAGCATAGCATTAGCGCTCTGTAATGTAGCATAGCATTAGCTCTGTAATGTAGCATAGCATTAGCTCTCTGTAATGTAGCATAGCATTAGCTCTCTGTAATGTAGCATAGCATTAGCTCTCTGTAATGTAGCATAGCATTAGCACTCTGACTCATAGCATAGCATTAGCTCTCTGTAATGTAGCATAGCATTAGCTCTCTGTAATGTAGCATAGCATTAGCTCTCCTTCTTTTAGCGACTTTCAAAGTTTTTCATACACGCTAGCTTCATTAGCATTAGCAGTTAGCTTCTCCCTCTCCTCTGTCCTGCTCAGTGTGTCAGATGTTCAGTTATTCCTCTGCCTCCTTTAATGATAATGGTTCTTGTATTAAATGTAGTTTATTTACTGCGCTGGAGGCGAGGCTCAGTGAGTTAGAGGAACGGCACCGCACCACTGAGATATCTTTAGCCGCTATAGTTAGCCAGCCCCCGGTAGCCGGTGCGGTCCGACCGAAGGTAGCTTCTGTTAGCTCTGTAGATCCCCCGGTAGTTCCTCCGGTAGTTCCCCCGGTAGTTCCTCCGGTAGTTCCTCCGGTAGTTCCTCCGGTAGTTCCTCCAGTAGTTCCTCCGGTAGATCCCCCGGTAGTTCCTCCGGTAGTTACCCCCGGTAGTTCCTCCGGTAGTTCCCCGGTAGTTCCTCCAGTAGTTCCCCCGGTAGTTCCTCCGGTAGTTCCTCCGGTAGTTCCCCCGGTAGTTCCTCCGGTAGTTCCTCGAGTAGTTCCTCCGGTAGTTACCCCGGTAGTTCCTCCGGTAGTTCCTCGAGTAGTTCCTCCGGTAGTTCCTCCGGTAGTTCCTCCGGTAGTTCCCCGGTAGTTCCTCCGGTAGTTCCTCGAGTAGTTCCCCGGTAGTTCCTCCGGTAGTTCCTCCGGTAGTTCCCCCGGTAGTTCCTCCGGTAGTTCCTCGAGTAGTTCCTCCGGTAGTTACCCGGTAGTTCCTCCGGTAGTTCCTCGAGTAGTTCCTCCGGTAGTTCCCGAGCAGCCGGGCAGACAGGGAGTCTGGGTGACTGAGCGAAGGAAGACTAAAACACCGAAGCCCACAGTTCACCACCAACCCATTCATGTTTCTAATACATTTTCCCCACTCAGCGATACACCCGCTGAGGAACCAACTCTGGTTATTGGCAGCTCCATAGTCAGAAACATGAAGTTAGCGAAGCCAGCGGCCATCGTTAAATGTATCCCTGGGGCCAGAGCGGGCGACATTGAATCAAATTTAAAACTGCTGGCTAAAGATAAACGTAAATACAGTAAGATTGTTATCCACGTCGGCGGTAACGACACCCGTTTACGCCAATCGGAGGTCACTAAGATTAATGTGGAGTCGGTGTGTAATTATGCTAAGACAATGTCGGACTCCGTAGTTTTCTCTGGACCCCTCCCCAATGTGACCAGTGATGACATGTATAGCCGCATGTCGTCATTCCACCGCTGGCTGTCGAGGTGGTGTCCAGCAAACGATGTGGGCTTCATTGATAACTGGAAGCCTTTTTGAGGAAAACCTGGTCTGATTAGGAGAGACGGCATCCATCCCACTTTGGATGGAGCGGCTCTCTTATCTAGAAATATGGCGAAGTTTATCTCTAAAACCTGACAGTCCAGAGTTAGGACCAGGAAGCAGAGCTGCTGTCTTACACACTACTCTGCTCTTTCTTTAGAACAGTCACCCACCCAAACCCCCCATAGAGACTGTGTCTGTCCCCCGACCACCTAAACTATTTAAAGAAATAAAAACAAGAGGAGTTCAACATAAAAATCTAATAAAAATTAAAACCAACTCCTCAGTAGCACAAAATAAGAGAATGAAATGTGGGCTGTTAAATATCAGGTCTCTGTCCTCTAAAGCTGTTTTAGTGAATGAATTAATATCAGATTATGATATTGATTTACTTTGTCTTACTGAGACCTGGTTGTCCCACGAGGAGTATGTTAGCCTAAATGAATCCACCCCCCCAGTCATATTAATACTCACATTCCTCGAGGCACAGGCCGAGGAGGTGGAGTAGCAGCTATATATGATTGGAGCGTTTTAATGGACCCTAAACCTAAACTAAATTATAATTCATTTGAAAGCCTTGTTCTTAGTCTTTCTCACCCAAACTGGAAAACACTGCAGCCAGTTCTATTTGTTATAGTGTACCGTGCTCCTGGACCGTACTCTGATTTTATATCTGAATTTTCAGAGTTTCTATCAAGTTAAGTCCTTAAATCAGATAAAGTAATTATTGTAGGTGATTTTAATATTCATGTGGATGTTGACAATGACAGCCTTAGTAACGCATTTATATCATTAATAGACTCAATTGGCTTCTGTCAGAGTGTAAATAAACCAACTCATTGTTTTAATCACACTCTTGACCTTGTTTTATCATATGGCATTGATATTGGACATTTAATAGTCTTCCCACATAATCCTTTCCTATCTGACCATTATTTAATAACTTTTGAATTCATACTATTAGATTATAAGCCATTAGGCAAAACTTCCTACAGCAGATGTCTATCTGACAGTGCTGTAGCTAAAGTTAAGGAGGAGATTCCTTCAGTGTTTAATTCAATGCCATGTCTGAATTTAGTCCTATAACGACTTTAGTCCCTCTGAAATTGATAATCTTGTCGATAGTGCTGCAGGCTCACTACGATCAACATTAGACTCTATCGCTCCTATAAAAAGGAAATTATTAAAACATAGGAGACTAGCACCTTGGTATAACCACCAAACCCGCCAGTTAAAGCAAATAGCTAGAAAATCTGAAAGGAAATGGCGCTCTTCCAAATTATCAGAATATCGCTCAAATTGGCAAGATAATCTTAAAACCTATAGAAAGGCCCTCCGTAAGCAGGAACATTGTCTTCTACACTCACATCTTTTATTCTTTATTCAGATTGAGGGGCTGCTGGTTGTCAGAGATCAGCTGTGATTATCTGGTCTCAGCTCTGAAGTCCAACCCCTCCCATCTGAGAGAGCTGGACCTGAGTAACAACGACCTGGAGGATTCAGGAGTGAAGCTGCTGTGTGGTTTTCTGGAGAGTCCACACTGTAGACTGGAGACTCTGAGGTCAGACACCATGTTTTCTTTCTGTGCTGAGATGAATGTGATGTTAAGTTGTGCTGACAGTAAAGTGCAGACATAAGGCTGATATTATACTGATCCACACTGAGTATCTGAATGCTAAAGGCTGTTTTCTTCTTCAGTGGTTTAGTCCATTGACTGTGGCAGAGCAATGTTGAGCTCCACATTTAAAACCTTCATAGAACAAGAAGAATCTACACTGAATAATTCACTGTGAACCTCTTCAGCTCTGGATTTTACATTAAAGGTCACCTTGTGGTTTAAATCATCCATAAAAATAAGTTCATTGGGCGCCTGGTTAGCTCAGTCGGTAGAGCTGGTGACCCGTATACGAAGCTGCTGCACTGTCCACACTGTAGACTGGAGACTCTGAGGTCAGTTCACTGACTCTCTGTTACTGTTGTAGATCTGATATCTTTCATTAACAACTCAACCTAATTGATGTTGATCCTTATACCATGGTCTGTGTGAATCCTGCATTGTGATTGGCTGCTGGGTGTCCATTACGTCCTGCTGTAGGACAGCTACTGAGATGTTCCAGTGAAACTGTCTGTTCACCGTTCTAAATGAATGAAATCAACTGAATTCAAACAGAATGTGAATATCTCATAAATCTATCTGACAGCACTGAGTGTCGTCCTTCATCCTCTGAACACCACAGCCCGACCCCCCCTTTGAACTCACTGATACTCACATCCCATTGGCTGTTCAACTCGCTACTTCAGGCTGCGGCCGTCAGTGCACATGTCCTATCGTTGGTCCAAATCTGCACATTGATTTGGGGACAATGACCTGGCTGATAGCGAGCTAGTCTTGTTAAACATTCTGTCACACTATATTTACTGTTTGTCACTGACTCTGAGTCCTAGCGTAGCATTAGCTCTCTGACTCGTAGCACAGCATTAGCTCTCTGACTTGTAGCGTAGCATTAGCTCTCTTACTCGTAGCGTAGCATTAGCTCTCTTACTCGTAGCGTAGCATTTGCTCTCTGACTCGTAGCGTAACATTAGCTCTCTTTCTCGTAGCGTAGCATTAGCTCTCTGACTCGTAGCGTAGCATTAGCTCTCTGACTCGTAGCATGGCATTAGCTCTCTGACTCGTAGCATAGCATTAGCTCTCTGTAATGTAGCACAGCATTAGCTCTCTGACTCGTAGCATAGCATTAGCTCTCTGACTTGTAGCATAGCATTAGTTCTCTGACTTGTAGCGTAGCATTAGCTCTCTGACTCGTAGCATAGCATTAGCTCTCTGACTCGTAGCGCAGCATTAGCTCTCTGTCTCGTAGCGTAGCATTAGCTCTCTGACTCGTAGCGTAGCATTAGCTCTCTGACTCGTAGCATAGCATTAGCTCTCTGACTCGTAGCGTAGCATTAGCTCTCTGACTCGTAGCGTAGCATTAGCTCTCTGTGTTGATCTACACATTAAAAACCTGAACACATCTGATTGGATTATAAATGATTTTATCTTCATCATTTATTCTTTAAACTTGTACATTGTAAACCTTCTTCAGCTCTGAACAGATTATTAAACACTGAATGATTTCAAGCAGGAACATTGTCTTCTAAACTCACATCTTTTATTCTTTATTCAGATTGAGGCGCTGCAGGTTGTCAGAGATCAGCTGTTCTTCTCTGGTCTCAGCTCTGAAGTCCAACCCCTCCCATCTGAGAGAGCTGGACCTGAGTGACAACAACAACCTGCAGGATTCAGGAGTGAAGCTGCTGTGTGGTTTTCTGGAGAGTCCACACTGTAGACTGGAGACTCTGAGGTCAGTTCACTGACTCTCTGTTACTGTTGTAGATCTGATATCTTTCATTATCATCATCATTCACTTTTCTCAGGATATAATTTTTTGTCTAGTAATTTGAATGTTGCATTCGAAAGGGGACGCAAAGAAATTACACATTGCTGGGTGTTAGATTTGTTAGAGTCACTTATTTTCTTTAAAAAGTATTTTAAAATGTCAGTGACGTCATACACATCGTACGTCCAGAGATACCGCTTTACGGCGAGCCTCGAGTCTCTTTGTGCTTCCTTTTCTCTCGAGGCATCGACGACACAGACGTAACGATCGGCAGATAAAAGTACCAGCAACACAAAAAAAGTTTCTGTGTTAAAAAAAAGAAATTGTGCGAAAAAATCCGCCTTAACATTGTGGTCCCGCTTCGGATGCCACGATGCCATCAAGCAGGATCTCTGGTCGTAATCAGTCCTTCACTGACCAATCAGAGTTCATTAGCAGAATGCTAGCGCGTTATGGGCAACAACAACTCGTCCTGTAAGAAATCTAAAGGACATCAGAACTCGTTCATTCAACTTTCGACCTATAACCCATGTTGAACTTTAAAAACTACAATCACATCTGAGATTTCTCAACCACAATCAGGTGACAGAGACAAAAGTAGCCGTCTAGCTCCATCTGCTCCCATTCATTCTGCACTGATGGGCGATCGCCCCCAGTGGACCTCTGCTGGAACTGCAACCAGTATTCGGTACAATGGGACTTAATAGAGAGAGGCCAGGCTCTCCGTAGACGGGCTCTGCTTATACCATGGTCTGTGTGAATCCTGCATTCTGATTGGCTGCTGGGTGTCCATTACTTCCTGATGTAGGACAGCTACTGAGACGTGAAACTGTCTGTTCTCCGTTCTAAATGAACAGAGGTGTCAAGTAACAAAGTACAAAAACTTTGTTACCTTAAGTAGAATTTTTGGGTATCTATACTTTTCTGGAGTAATTATTTTTCTGCCGACTTTTTACTTTCTACTCCTTACATTTTCCAAACAGCCTCGTTACTCGTATTTCATTTCGGTTGTTTTCATCGTTTATAAACATAGAGTGAATTTGATTGTGATTGGATGAGAAGTATCAACATACACCGACACACTATTGGTCTGTACGCGATCTATGTGGGAAAGAAACAGGATTTGGGGGTAATAAAACAGATGTGCCCCTGGTCAAAGGGTTGAGTTTTATGATAGGAAGAGCCAGGGGGAAGGCACAGATGGAAGGACCATTTGGTGAGAGAGACCTGGATTTACAGGAGTAACATTTGCAAGACAAACAGGGGGTTTCATTGTTTGTGATGTAATGAGATGCACTGAAATGTATATAAGGGAGAGCATTTTGGAAGTCGGGAGAGAACATTCACGACGTGACCTTCTCTCCATGCTGCATGAATTAAAGTGACTTGATTATCACACCGGCTTTAAGTTCTTCAGAGACTTAGCACCTCTCAACTTTGAGAAGAATTCCCACTACATCTATCACCCCTGCACGTTACAAATCACGTCACACGCAAGCAAGCTTGGAAGCAGTGGTTCTATGGAGTTGTAGTTCAAGGTTTGAAGTGCGTATTGAAGCTGCAGTGTCGCGCTGCCGTCACTACTTCTTCGTCCACCAGCCCTGCCGGACATGCTCCATTTCGAAAATGTCCGAACCAAGCACCAGCGAGGAGGTTGCTAGCCAGGAAGACCAGCCAACTCTTGTACATCCCTGGCCATACCTGGACGAATTCTTCGAAATGGTTGGATCCAAAAACAACTCATTTCGAATGTGCTGCAAGCTCTGCGCTCCCAAGTACCATGAGCTAATGGCTTTCAAAAACTCGCTGTCTAATTTGAAAAAGCATATTGAGGTAAGCTGAAAGTTTGTTATTATCAGTCGATTATTGATCAAATATTGTAGTAACTTAGTTACGTCTTAATGGTCAATTTCAATGTTTGCTAAGGCTAGGTAGGTACATGCCAAGACATGGTTTGCTTGCTAGCAGCAATAGGCTATGATTCAACGTTGCAAGTTCGTTTGGTGGGCTCTGTGTGAGATTTGAAATTCGACTTTAACCAAATGTTGTCTGAGCTTATATTATTATTATAAACAGGATTTGGGGGTAATAAAACAGATGTGCCCCTGGTCAAAGGGTTGAGTTTTATGATAGGAAGAGCCAGGGGGAAGGCACAGATGGAAGGACCATTTGGTGAGAGAGACCTGGATTTACAGGAGTAACATTTGCAAGACAAACAGGGGGTTTCATTGTTTGTGATGTAATGAGATGCACTGAAATGTATATAAGGGAGAGCATTTTGGAAGTCGGGAGAGAACATTCACGACGTGACCTTCTCTCCATGCTGCATGAATTAAAGTGACTTGATTATCACACCGGCTTTAAGTTCTTCAGAGACTTAGCACCTCTCAACTTTGGGAAGAATTCCCACTACATCTATCACCCCTGCACGTTACAAATCACGTCACACGCAAGCAAGCTTGGAAGCAGTGGTTCTATGGAGTTGTAGTTCAAGGTTTGAAGTGCGTATTGAAGCTGCAGTGTCGCGCTGCCGTCACTACTTCTTCGTCCACCAGCCCTGCCGGACATGCTCCATTTCGAAAATGTCCGAACCAAGCACCAGCGAGGAGGTTGCTAGCCAGGAAGACCAGCCAACTCTTGTACATCCCTGGCCATACCTGGACGAATTCTTCGAAATGGTTGGATCCAAAAACAACTCATTTCGAATGTGCTGCAAGCTCTGCGCTCCCAAGTACCATGAGCTAATGGCTTTCAAAACTCGCTGTCTAATTTGAAAAAGTATATTGAGGTAAGCTGAAAGTTTGTTATTATCAGTCGATTATTGATCAAATATTGTAGTAACTTAGTTACGTCTTAATGGTCAATTTCAATGTTTGCTAAGGCTAGGTAGGTACATGCCAAGACATTGTTTGTTTGCTAGCAGCAATAGACTTTGATTCAACGTTGCAAGTTCGTTTGGTGGGAAATTTTGAAATTCGACTTTAACCAAATGTTGTCTGAGCTTATATTATTGCTATACGCAATATATGTAAGTTAATTGTGCAAAGCTCAAGTCTACAGTCTACAGCTGGTTGATAAAGCGTGGTCTTACTAAGGATTGGCATTATCCTGTTTGTGTCTGAGAGTGCATGCGCCTATGTGGGGCATGCACTATGGCTCCTTGTTAGGTGGTAACCACCACCTGTCAGCCACATTTTAAAGTTTAAAATGAATTTTATTGGATTATTTCATAAATAATGTTACTGTTCAGTCATGCCAGTTGCTTGTGGTCCTAAAACAGCTTTAAGTGGCAATATTCTGGTCTGCTCAACATAATAGCATAGACCAGTGAAACTGCTCCCCAACTTGTAGTCTGACCTTCATTCATGAACTTCAAGCATGACATTTAATACAGTGGAAGTCCTTGATAGTCTGAGTTTGTGGTTTGAGAGAAATAATGTGAATCTCAATCAGTGCCTGTGCATTTATTTTCTCCACAGAAGAAACACCCCAATTGTCTAGAGAGGTACACACAACTTACTTCAGCAGTCCTCAAAAGGAAGTCATCCACTGAAGGTTCATTGGCCCCACCTTCCAAACAAACCAAGCTGTGGGAGACTCGAAAAGTGTCCCAGGCCAGTGTGGATAAAGCAGTCCTCAATTTCGTTGTCCAAGGCTTGCACCCACCACACATTGTTCAGCAACAGGGCTTCATTGATCTTGTGAAACATCTTCATCCAAATACAAATGTAATGACACGCAATACTGTTGGAAACAAAGTCACAAAGGCTTCAGTCGAAATGAAAAGAAAACTGAAAGCAGCCCTTAGTGATGTTCAGTTCATAGCAACAACAACAGACTGCTGGACGGCACACCGTCGCAGTTTCATTGGTGTCACTGCGCACTGGTTTAACCCCCAGTCAAAGCAGAGATCCTGTGCCGCCTTGGCATGCAAGCAACTTAGAGGGTCACACACTTTTTCTGCCCTGGCTGGTGCCCTAAATGATATTCACACAGAATTCAATATCAGAGAGAAGATCGTTCGCACTACAACTGACAACGGATCAAACTTCCTGCAAGCCTTCAGAGTTTATGGGCAGACTGACGAGAACAACAATCCTGAACCTGCAGGAGAGGGTGATGGAGAAAAGGATGATGGTGGCCAAAATGAGGATGACAATGAAGAAGAGGAAAGATGGGAGGTTACAGTAATCATTATACTATTACTCTGATTACTTTGGTACAGTTACTGGCTGTTTCTTCACTAGAAACAACTGCTTGACTAATGTTGTTAATATTATGTAATATATAATATGTTTAACTTCACTGGGCTGTGTAGACTGTAGGTCACTGCTCACTGCTGTACCTGGAAAGACATAAAACACAGTGTTGGTTCTCATAGTTAAGGTATAAACACTAACATTATGTGATAGATAGAGGTTAATATTTATATATATATATATATTTTATAAACTCAGTAACAGTGAGGAGCTACCTGCCGGCAACGAAGGGGAGGGGCTGGAGCGTCATCCGCGTGAGCCGCGTCATAATGCCGACCAATCAGAGCAGACTGGGCTTTTCGGGAGGGGGGTCTTAAAGAGACAGGAGCTGAAACCGATCGATTCAGACAGAGGCTGAAAAGAGGAGCTCAGCTGTAGGCAGTATGAGAAAAATAATGTGTTTGTTGAACATTAAAACATCTAAACCTATTGTAGGAGAGCCACTAAATACAATTATGAAGCTGAAAAGGGCATAATATGACTCCTTTAACGGATGTACATCCTAACACACACACACACACACACTCACACACACACACACACACACACACACACACTCTCACAAAGTGGGATGGAGGGAATGATGTTTGATTTTTTTGATTAATCACCTGCAGCTAAGCTTGGATGTTCATTTACATTGAAATAAAGAGTATTGAAAACATGCCTCTGAAGTTTGACTTTTTGCACTATTACAATACTTATAGGTTTATAACTAGTCATCATATCTTCCACTCCATGAAACACATGTTAATGCTCAGTAGCACTAGCACACATATATGGTTCTTTAATGTATTTGCATTATACTAAAATGCATTCATTTTCATTGGGCATGTATGAGGCTGAAACAGGTAGCCTAGTGCATCCCAAATGTTTCAACATTAACATTTTAATATAACATTATAGTCATTAAGGCCTTTAGAAAGATGATGTTTTCTGGGGGGAGGTCGTGCAGTGCCTATAGGCCCCTGTGGCGTGGGGCCAATAACATTTGATGGCTTTTTTCCCCTTTACATTACTTTTACTTTTTTACTTTAAGTAGTTTTGAAGCCAGTACTTTTACACTTCTACTTGAGTAAAACGCTTGAGTTGATACTTCAACTTCTACAAAAGTCTTTTTAAACCCTAATATCTGTACTTGTACTAGCATAGCATTAACTCTCTGACTCGTAGCATAGCATTAGCTCTCTGTCTCGTAGCGTAGCATTAGCTCTCTGTCTCGTAGCGTAGCATTAGCTCTCTGACTCGTAGCGTAGCATTAACTCTTTGTAATGTAGCATAGCATTAGCTCTTTGTAATGTAGCATAGCATTAGCTCTCTGTAATGTAGCATAGCATTAGCTCTCTATCTCGTAGTGTGGCATTAGCTCTCTGACTCGTAGCATAGCATTAGCTCTCTGACTCGTAGCATAGCATTAACTCTCTGACTCGTAGCGTATTAGCTCATTAGCTCTCCTTCTTTTAGCGACTTTCAAAGTTTTTCATACACGCTAGCTTCATTAGCATTAGCAGTTAGCTTCTCCCTCTCCTCTGTCCTGCTCAGTGTGTCAGATGTTCAGTTATTCCTCTGCCTCCTTTAAAGATAATGGTTCTTGTATTAAATGTAGTTTATTTACTGCGCTGGAGGCGAGGCTCAGTGAGTTAGAGGAACGGCACCGCACCACAGAGATATCTTTAGCCGCTATAGTTAGCCAGCCCCCCGGTAGCCGGTGCGGTCCGACCGAAGGTAGCTTCTGTTAGATCTGTAGATCCCCCGGTAGTTCCTCCGGTAGTTACCCCGGTAGTTCCTCCGGTAGTTCCCCCGGTAGTTCCTCCGGTAGTTCCTCCGGTAGTTCCTCCGGTAGTTCCTCCGGTAGTTCCTCCAGTAGTTCCTCCGGTAGTTCCTCCAGTAGTTCCTCCGGTAGTTCCTCCAGTAGTTCCTCCGGTAGTTCCCCCGGTAGTTCCTCCGGTAGATCCTCCGGTAGATCCCCGGTAGTTCCTCCGGTAGTTCCTCCGGTAGTTCCCCCGGTAGTTCCTCCGGTAGATCCTCCGGTAGATCCCCCGGTAGTTCCTCCGGTAGATCCCCGGTAGTTCCTCCAGTAGTTCCTCCGGTAGTTCCTCCGGTAGTTCCTCCAGTAGTTCCTCCGGTAGTTCCCCCGGTAGTTCCTCCGGTAGATCCTCCGGTAGATCCCCCGGTAGTTCCTCCGGTAGTTCCCCCGGTAGTTCCCCGGTAGTTCCTCCGGTAGATCCTCCGGTAGATCCCCGGTAGTTCCTCCGGTAGTTCCTCCGGTAGTTCCCCCGGTAGTTCTTCCGGTAGTTCCTCGAGTAGTTCCTCCGGTAGTTACCCCGGTAGTTCCTCCGGTAGTTCCTCGAGTAGTTCCTCCGGTAGTTCCCCCGGTAGTTCCCGAGCAGCCGGGCAGACAGGGAGTCTGGGTGACTGAGCGAAGGAAGACTAAAACACCGAAGCCCACAGTTCACCACCAACCCATTCATGTTTCTAATACATTTTCCCCACTCAGCGATACACCCGCTGAGGAACCAACTCTGGTTATTGGCAGCTCCATAGTCAGAAACGTGAAGTTAGTGAAGCCAGCGGCCATAGTTAAATGTATCCCTGGGGCCAGAGCGGGCGACATTGAATCAAATTTAAAACTGCTGGCTAAAGATAAACGTAAATACAGTAAGATTGTTATCCACGTCGGCGGTAACGACACCCGTTTACGCCAATCGGAGGTCACTAAGATTAATGTGGAGTCGGTGTGTAACTATGCTAAGACAATGTCGGACTCCGTAGTTTTCTCTGGACCCCCTCCCCCAATGTGACCAGTGATGACATGTATAGCCGCATGTCGTCATTCCACCGCTGGCTGTCGAGGTGGTGTCCAGCAAACGATGTGGGCTTCATTGATAACTGGAAGCCTTTTTGGGGAAAACCTGGTCTGATTAGGAGAGACGGCATCCATCCCACTTTGGATGGAGCGGCTCTCTTATCTAGAAATATGGCGAAGTTTATTTCTAATTATATTTTATTTTTTTTATGTAAAGTGTCTTTGAGTATTTAGAAAAGCGCTTATAAATAAAATGTATTATTATTATTAAAACCTGACAGTCCAGAGTTAGGACCAGGAAGCAGAGCTGCTGTCTTACACACTCCTCTGCTCTTTCTTTAGAACAGTCACCCACCCAAACCCCCCATAGAGACTGTGTCTGTCCCCCGACCACCTAAATTATTTAAAGAAATAAAAACAAGAGGAGTTCAACATAAAAACCTAATAAAAATTAAAACCAACTCCTCAGTAGCACAAAATAAGAGAATGAAATGTGGACTGTTAAATATCAGGTCTCTGTCCTCTAAAGCTGTTCTAGTTAATGAATTAATATCAGATTATGATATTGATTTACTTTGTCTTACTGAGACCTGGTTGTCCCACGAGGAGTATGTTAGCCTAAATGAATCCACCCCCCCAGTCATATTAATACTCACATTCCTCGAGGCACAGGCCAAGGAGGTGGAGTAGCAGCTATATATGATTCGAGCGTTTTAATGGACCCTAAACCTAAACTAAATTATAATTCATTTGAAAGCCTTGTTCTTAGTCTTTCTCACCCAAACTGGAAAACACTGCAGCCAGTTCTATTTGTTATAGTGTACCGCGCTCCTGGACCGTACTCTGATTTTATATCTGAATTCTCAGAGTTTCTATCAAGTTCAGTCCTTAAATCAGATAAAGTAATTATTGTAGGTGATTTTAATATTCCTGTGGATGTTGACAATGACAGCCTTAGTAACGCATTTATATCATTAATAGACTCATTTGGCTTCTGTCAGAGTGTAAATAAACCAACTCATTGTTTTAATCACACTCTTGACCTTGTTCTATCATATGGCATTGATATTGGACATTTAATAGTCTTCCCACATAATCCTTTCCTATCTGACCATTATTTAATAACTTTTGAATTCATACTATTAGATTATAACCCATTAGGCAAAACCTCCTACAGCAGATGTCTATCTGACAGTGCTGTAGCTAAATTTAAGGAGGAGATTCCTTCAGTGTTTAATTCAATGCCATGTCTGAATTTAACAGAGTCCTATAACAACTTTAGTCCCTCTGAAATTGATAATCTTGTCGATAGGGCTACAGGCTCACTACGATCAACATTAGACTCTATCGCTCCTATAAAAAGGAAATTATTAAAACATAGGAGACTAGCACCTTGGTATAACCACCAAACCCGCCAGTTAAAGCAAATAGCTAGGAAATCTGAAAGGAAATGGCGCTCTTCCAAATTATCAGAATATCGCTCAAATTGGCAAGATGATCTTAAAACCTATAGAAAGGCCCTCCGTAAGCAGGAACATTGTCTTCTACACTCACATCTTTTATT